TTTGCCTGAAGGCTGTCTCTGCTACTTTTTGAGCCTCTCCCTTTCATTTTTAGCTTTTGAAAGAATAAACAGTTCATCTGAATTTATTCTCATCTGCAAGTAAGAATAGCTTAACTAACACGATCTACTAATGTTTTGGCCTTGTGCACAGGTTCAGTTTCTTTGACAAATCCCTTTGGTCTGCTTGTAGCTGTCAAGTAAATGCAATAAATGAGCTGAAAGATACAAGATGTTATTATATTTGTGATAAATACGTCCATATAAGTTGTACCAAGCCCACTTGAGGACAGTAAAGAAGTTACTGGGCTGGAGAAGAGAGATTTCAGGAAAACCTCACTGCAGCATTCCAATACTTCAGTAGGAGTGGAGGTGACTTTTTACACAGTCTGATAGTGATAGGACAAGGGAGAATGTCTTTTAAAATAAAAAGGGAGATTTAGGTGAGATGTTAAGAAGAAATTCTTTACTCACAGGGTGGTGAGGCACTGGAACAGCTTGCCTGGAGAAGTTGTAGGTGCCCCATCGCTGAAGACATTCAAGGCCAGGTTGGATGGGGCCCAGGCAATCTGACCTTGTGGTTGGCAACCAGTCCCCAGCAGGGGGCTTGAAACTTGATGGTCTTTAAGATGCTTTCCAACCTAGGCCATCCTGTTCCTGTGATATTCCTCACTACTTTGGTTGATCTTTTCCAATAAAGAATCTTTCTAACTGCAGCTGCAAAATTAATCCTTGTTGGATAGAAGTGATAAAGCAGGGCTGCAGGACTTCTAATATAACACAATAATCCTTTGTCCACAAAGGGTATGTTATAGCAATGCTGACCCCTGTTAAACCCTAAGAAAATTTTATTTTCACTGTGCTTGGCAAACAGCTAAAGTTGCAACTAGCACCTTTGATTACTGACACAGAACAAGTAGCCTGGGTTTCCTTTGAATGTCTTTACGAAGCTTTGTAGGAAAGTCTGTGTGTGCTGTCGGAAGACAGCAAACCTTGCCTGGTTCTGAAGTTCTTATCTGAGACGTGTTTGTGTCTGCAAGACTGTATCTATTACAAGCTGGCCATTCTTCATGGCTTGTTTATAAACTGTGGCCTGTTAGCACATCTCTGGTATATTACTTTTGTTCAGCGTTTCTCATTCAAACAAGTTTGGAAGGGAACTGGGAAAAAAATATACGTTTTAGAATGCTTTTTTCTATGAAAGGATCCCACTGAGTTAGTAGGACACAACTTATTTTCACAGGCAGTCTGCATTTTCCAGGTGCTGCAGAAGATTAGCTTCGAACAGGAAAACTGTTGAAAGTCCAAAAGCTTTGTGCCATACAAGCAGCTCAACAAAGGTGTCTGTCAGAAAGCATTTATGTCACAGAAACCATTCAAATCAGAAGAGATGAAGTTCCTCTGACTTTTGATATACTGATAATACAACTCTGAATTCTTCATTACAGTGAAACTTTGTCTATTTGCTGTTATTAATGTATTCCTTTCGTTTTTCCTTTTCTGTGATTTAATCTTACAGTACTCACATCTTGTTATTTGTGCATATTTTAAAAACAAACATTTTTACAAGAAGTTTTACCTATACTGCTTGTAACTACGGTTTATTTATTCATGGATTTTAGAGACTTTTTTTTTCTCTTAGCGGTTATTTTATATCAGCTTAGTAATAGTACCAAGTGCACTATGTTCAGTGTAAAAAATGTTTATTTTCCAATCAACAAGGTGCTGTTTCAAAGTTTACATTCTTTGCTCTAATGCTTGCAAACATCATTCATTTAAATGCAACTGTTGTTAACAGCAGTAGTAAGGATAATATTGTTTCTGTGATGCTCTTGATCTTTTGTTTGTTTTGCATGGGTTGCTGAGTCTTGTGATCTTTTTACAAAGTATTTATGAATCCTGACTTAGACTTGAAAATGTAAGGAGCACTTTAATTTACTTTTGACCTGATAAATGCTGTTTTTAGGTCATGCCATGATCTTTCCTTCTCTGGAAGGTCAACTAAAATAAGATTCCTTCTGACATTTTGAAGATAATTATTAGGAAATTAGCCACTATACAGAGCTACAAATACCAGAAGTACAAGGACAAATTCTTGTGTAGTGTTTAATTATGTGAAAGGTCAATGTGAAGGGGGTGTAAGTAAGCAAGACTGTGGTGGCTGGGAGGAGCATACCCTATCACTGCTTTCAGTAGGACACGCTTATGAGGACATTTCCTCTCTCGAGATGTTTTGAAACCAGTTATTGCCTAGGCACATCCCTTCTGTTCTCAACTGAAGGAGACAATCATGGATATTCAGCACCAGCCTGGATACTTTCCTGTGCAACCTGCTGTAGGTAGCATGCATTAGCAAGGGAAGCTTGTACTTGATGATCCCCTGAAGTCCCATCCAACCCCTCTTTGGAGAGGCAACCAGGGAAAGGAACAGGGAATAATTTATGGGTGGGGAAAAGGGAGTATGAGTGGTAAGTAATAATGTGTTCAGGAGTAACAAAACACTATACTCTTACTCTTACTACTTATACTCTTACTCTTACTCTTATACTCTTACTATACTTGTGAGCATAAGGGAATACTAAACCCCAGGGGATATGTTCTTTTTCACAACAAGCTTTTTGTAGTAAGTGTGGTTGTTGACTCGGGCTGCTTTGATCTGCCAGTAGTATTGCCTTGTCAGAATAAGCAGGCTGTCCAGCTTCATACTTGCAGGATTTGCAGGCTTTGAGAATAAAGGCGCTCCTGTAACTGTGGGGAGCACCTTAGTTTGACAGTTCTGTCCTCATAAAATGTTTAACAATATAAAATTGCTTATTTGGGTTTTTCATTCAAAAGATTGAGCTCCAGCTAAATCAGATCATTTCATTCTAATGTATGTAGGCCGAAAGTAAAAGCCAGAGCCTTGTGGTCAGGCAGAGCCAGTCCAAGAACAAAACAACTCGGAAACAATTTATTTTTTCCTTATAAACTTCTTTAGTGCTGTGACCCTTTCATGCAAAGTGTGAACTGATTTAGCAAGTGTCAACTCAGTGCCCCTGTGGTGAAGACTGTTAAGTGATGGGGAAGAATTACAAAGGGGGATAATTGCCGTATGGAAACATAAGACTTTTTGAGAACAAATCTCAGAATCAGCAAGGCAAAACTTCATGGCTTTAACCCTAATTTAGCTGTGAATTAGAACACTATTAAATTCATTATATCTTCAGTAAGACATTGTGAGCTGTATCTTCTGATCTTATTTACCAAAGCATAATCAAAGCTGAAAATATTATGCTCTTACTAAAAGCAAGTGGGATTAGTCTGGGAATCTCTGTCAGCAGAGCTGTTACCTTAGTAGGAAAAATAAACTTCCTATTGATACAAAAGTCTCACTTGATGGCAGTGGCTAAGTTGTCATCATAGAATTGTAAAAATTAAACATCGTAAAGAAAAATTTCTGTAAATACTCTCATCTGTGTTCAGGCATTTAGATTACAGGCAGCATAATTTGTTTTTCTTTCATGTGGCAACTTTAGTCTTCCATAAAAGGGTGTGTTTATATGTTGTATCTACTTGTCATGTCTTATTTTAAAGCATTAACATTCTTCAGACCTTGCTATTTGTAATGGCATTTTCCTCTAAGTTTTCTGAGGTGAGAAGATGATGAGGGAAGGGCTTTAACATATCGCTTATTGCTGATTCCTCAGTGTGCATTTCTGAAACAGTGCTATGTGCTATGAAAGGACAGTGCACTGTGACAGTTCTGCAGAAAGAAATAGCACTTTCGACGCATGGAGTGGGCCCTTCATTTGTTAGTTTTGTGCAGATCAAGTCTTGTGGAAAAGGTAAGTGAGGCAAAATACAATCCAATGTCCTCATGCAACAGTGAGCAACAAATACTCTGTTAAGAGTTAGGTGTTACCATGCATAATGTTTATCTCTCAACCTGCCAATCAAAGTAACTTCCGTTAGTCATCATATCTAAGTGCTAAAAGTGAAATGCATTTTTCCAAAATGAGACTTTACATTTGGAAAGGAAACCAGAGCTGCAAATGTCATAAGCACTGTAACATCTGTGGCAAGATTGCAGTTTACCTCTCCTCATTACTGAAATTCCAACACTCTTAACTGTTGAGATGTATAATCATAAAATCATAGAATGGCTTAGGTTGGAAGGGACCTTAAAACCACCTATTTCAACCCCCTTGCCATGAGTAGTGTTATCATCCAACTAGATGTGCTGCCTGGAGCATCCGTCCAACCTGGCTTTGAATGCTTCCATGGATGGGGCGTCCACAACTTCTCTGGGCAGCCTATTCCAGGGCTTGACCATTCTCTGAGTAAAACATTTTTTCCTATGATCTAAGCTAAATCTCCTCTCTTTTAGTTTAAAGCCGTTGTCCCTTGTCCTGTCACTATCAGATCACGTAAAAAGTCTATCCCCCTCCTGCTTGTAAGCTCCCTTCAAGGACTGGAATGCCACAATTAGGCCTCACTGAAACCTCTTCTTCAGGCTAAACAAGCACAGCTCCCTCAATTGTCATAAGAGAGGTGCTCCAGTTCTGTGGTCTTCATGGCTCTTCTCTGTACATGCTCCAACAGCTCCATATCTTTCTTGTGCTGGGGCCTCAGCCTGGATGCACTACTCCAGATGGGGCCTTAAAATGGCAGAGTGGAGGGGAACAGTTACTTTTCCTCGCTCTTCCTGAGTGCTACATCATCCATATATCCAGTTTCTTCTACTGGTCTGTTGCTCTTTTTCTGCCTGGGTCCCAGTCTCCAGTCAAGAAGAACCAGGAGAACACTACTTGTGCTTCTGAACACTTCAACATCTTTCTAATGAATATAAAGTCCTGATGTAATACTGACAAGTTAATAGATGCAGACTTTTCAGGACATCAGTGCAAAGGATGTCATAATTTTGTTTTTCATTTTGTTCAATAGTGACAATATGGCAAAGTGGCATTTGGCATTGGTATGAATCCTGCAATACACATTGCTTTTTTTTTTTTTCCCCCCTGCAGTTCTGATGTAGAAAATGGAACGAGTGAAAGAAGAAAGCCAGGAAAATCACCTCCTGTTTCGCTGCAAACTCCTACCAGTGAAGTGGAACATTTTGATGATGGAAAGAAAGTTGATTTTGCTAGGTAATGGTCAGGAATATTGTCAGGTTTCTGCTAATTAAAAAATCAGAATGGGAAGCTGAGCTGAGAAATGAGATTTATCAGATACCCCATTTGTGGGTTAGCTTGCACCCTAAGCAGGTAAGCAGGGAGCCTACATCCTGAGGCTGCCATGGCAGCAGCAGTCAGAAGAGTGGTAGTATGAACTCTTGGGTTGGATTAGCTTTCCTCTTGTAGGGAAGAATGCACTGCACTGTAACCACTGCTGGTTACGTCCTGTTCACAGCCAGGTTGACACAGTCTAACTGAGCTGCAGTTTGAGTCCTGGGTTATTCGTAGAATACTTTCTTGGTAGTGTGCTTATCCACTATAAAGCTATAACAAAAAAAAAATATTTTTGGACTCTGCACTTTATATTGTATCAGATGACTGCAGTCTCTCTTAAAGAAACTGAAGTAATAATTTTTAAAAAAAAAAAAAAAACAAACAACTTCTGAAGGGCAAATTTTGCATTCCTTTCACTTTCAACTGGGCAGCTAATGCAGAAGTCAGTGGTCAACCTGACAGAGTGGTTGTGGTCACAGGGCAGGTAGTTACAAAGCAGCACTTAAATTTTTGAAGCATCTTTGAGAGAAATACGTGATAATTTTTTATGTAAAACTTCTTTCCAGTTTAATCCCTCTCATACAGTTTGACTCTATGCTATATGGAAGGATTGGCATAAGGCAAAGCTAGCTATTCAGTTTGACTGGTACATTGCACAGAAACGTGAATATGCCTACAGATGTATATTGGAGGCTTCTTCTGTGAGGGACCACCTGAGAAACACAGCCAGTCCCCCAGCTGTATAATCTCTTTCCTAAATTTATTTATACCCCTAATTTAAGGTTCCTCTCACTCTTAGCCCTGAAATAAGCAGAATTTATTTTCCTGTCATCCTCAGAGATTTTCCTCTGTGCTCTTTCTACTTCTGAGCTGTTTGGCTTTTTTATGTTGTTGTTGCTTTTTTCTTTCAGTATGAATTGCTAAGGGTGTACAGGTACAACAGCTTCCTATAAAAAGAGCATTTATAGTCCTTTTTGATTTATTGGAAACTTTACTTCCAGAATTGCTGGTTGTCTCATTGATTTCCATACACTGGTGTTTGTAGCCATTCTCTGAATGTACATCCTTGTTTTCTCTGTTGCACTTTCCAAACAACCTCCCTTCTTCTAGTATAACTTCATAGCTTCGACTGCACTAGCTTGAACTCCCTGCTACTAAGGTTTGACTTTTATTACATTACCAAGTGAATTGCTTAATGTTTCTTATGTTGCTTGGAAACAAACATGGAGCAAGGCACAATGATCATCCATTAAACCTATAAAAATGCTTTGAACATTTTTTTTCCTTACAACTAGTGGTCTAAAATATTCCTTCTAAGTTAAAAATAGACCTCTTGGAGGACTGGCCTAATTCAAGATTAAGACAGACTCTATACATTGCTATGTACTACTTCAAAAATCAGGTTGTAGCAGTTGAAAGATTAATGTGTCTCACAGAAAAAAAAAATGTCCTGTTGATAACTTAAAAGGCAAATTAAATGAGGTCAATAATCTTACATGGCATGCTTTTTTTTTAATTATTATTTTCAGGACAAAGAGCAGTACAGAAAGTCCACTCCTGACAGTGGAAAGCAAGAATGATTCCAAAATTGAAAGGAAAAAACATATCTCAAATCAGGTAGGGAGAAGATGGACTTTTTTTGTTGATAACTGGTAAGAGCAAATACAGAACTGGAAGAGCACCCTTGTTTTATAGTGTTCTATTTCCTGATTGTGTAAGGATGTAGGTCCCTTTTTTCATCTTAGATCAGAACAAGTTAATAGGCATATAGCAAAAATGATGATTTGCTGTAAAACAAATAGGCAGAAGGAGAAGAAAATGGGAGTATAGGAAGTGATATGAGTCACTTAATTGTAAGAATATCTAATAAGGCATGTGTCTTTCGTGGTGGGCCTTTTTGTTTTTTAGCTGAAGGCAAATGCACACTTTCATAAGCTGTTTCTGGATGTTTCCATTGATGAGCCACTAAAACAAAGTGAGTATTAAGACCCTTATATTGCTGGCTGTGGATCAAAATACTGTTAATATCTGCCAACTCTGGTGACATAAAAAAAACCACTACCCCAGTTTTAAAAAACTTTTAACTCCAGCTGCCTGGAGCTGCAAGGCTTCATTTGCATGCAGGGGTGTTTCAGTTACAGTCTTGTAAAATGTATATTTCTTTGTTCTTCGTGTGTTTAGCATCTTTTGGTGTTGTAGCTCACTTTGTACTTCTTAACAGAGTAACCTTGAGCAATGTTTTGAAAACTGGTCTAAAGCTTTGTAGGAATCTAGGTGGTACTCTGTCAAAAAAGTGTCTTGGCATCTGAGAGCCTGTTGCATATTACACATTTCAATCTTTATTCTTCATCTATTTTGAATTAAAGTAAAGCTTGTGAAATCTTCTGAGCTTTTCTATACTTGTAAAACTTTTTCAGTGTATCAGGGTTTAGAGTGACAGAATCGTTTGAGTTGGGAGAGGCCTTCAAAGATTGCCTAGTTCAAATCCCCTGCAATGATCAGGGATGGTTTGACATTGTTTGTTAAAAGATATAAACCCAAACAGGTAACGGGTAAAAAAAATAAAATAAATAAAAAAGAGCAAAAAAAAAAGCCAGTGTGTGTTGTGTGTACACTAAAAGTTACAGAATATCTTTATACTTTAGGTTTTACCTGTGCTCTCCAGAAAGAAATTCTTTATCAAGGAAAGCTGTTCCTTTCTGAAAACTGGATTTGCTTCCATTCCAAGGTTTTTGGTAAAGACACTAAGGTTAGTACTAAATGGTAGTACAGTTCCTTAGAAATCTTGTCATCACTTGAAATTTGCTTTATTATGCAAGGCTAGAAAACTTCTAATACCTTCAAGTGTTACTGAAAAGAATGACTATGCCCAAAAGTCTCTTTAAAACAGGAGTACTATTACTATTAAAGAACCAGTCATCGCTTTAAGGATTTCCTGTCTGAAAAAATACATAAGAAAATAACTTGACATGGAATTACAAAGGCTGCCAAACTCACACAGCTGTAATTGTACGAAATTGGCTCTCTTGGGTTAACTTTGGAAAAGAGAAGGAGGAGGCAGGGTGCAAAGTATAAGGGCTAGTTGGGGAAATGGTGGGAAGGATCAAGCACACTCATTAACAGTTAAATAAATTAAAAAAAAAATAACACTAAAACTGGCTCCAGAGTGAACTTGCAAAGGCCTGAGGGGATTCTTCTACCTGTTCCTTCTGTTCTACGTGAACAGAGAAAGTCTAGTAGGCACTTCACTTTTACTTGTGAGCCTAGTGTAAAGAGCAGAACAGACTTGAACAGCTGGGACGATCTTAATTACTCTTTTCTCAGTACAGATATGACCTGCATAACGTTTTATCCCCCTTTGATGAACATTATGCATATAGTTAAAATTACACTGCACCCAAAAATATGCATGTTCTGTTTTGTTGATTTGGAAGTTTTGGGGTCTTTGTTAAAATAAACTCTTCTCTGTCTTTGATCTTTTATTGGGAAGAAGCATTATTTGCAGTAAGGATTTTTTTGGCTTCTTTCTTTCACAAGTACTTCATTGAATTACTTGCTTTTTACATCAAGACCCTTTCTCAGTGGTGCTGACACCAGTTTAGGGAGTTCACAATATATTATTTCTGTTCTGTCAGCTGTTGTGCTGGAACACAGTATATCTTTGACAGGGACTTTAAGAAGGTAGAATATGTTTCTTAATAACTTAATACATGTTATTGCTTGGGCCAAGAAACTGGACAATTGTTTCCTAGTTGATGCATTATATTAATTAAGTGTAAGTAATATGTTAATATGTATGATGTTGGTGTGCATGTCACTGAAAGCCAGACAAAGAAATCAAAATTAATGAAGGATTGGATGCCATCACTTAAGGTCATAGCATCTATCTTGTCAGGTAGTTTCATTAAAATTGAAGTTGCTGTCTGTGTCCTGCACAGCACAAATGAATGTGCCTTGACCTACTCCAAACTGTGGGGCAGCTTTCTAAAATTCAAGCTTAGCTTGAATTTTACATGATTAATACATGATTAAAATCTAATAAAAAACCTGTCAAGTTGAAGAGAAAGACGTGGAATAAAAGCTGCTAAATGATAATCATTTAGAACTGGCAAATGATATTAGTAAAATGTCAGCAGTGTGAGTGTATGTATATATTCATATAAATGATGCAAAGGGAAACAGGAGATAAAGTAGATAAGTTTTCAGAATGTGTCTGTAGTGATATTCCAAGCAATCAGTCCTGGGTCCCTGTTTTAGAAAACATTGAGAGGGGAGAAAAACGAAAATGAGAATGAAAAAAGAGAGAGGCCTGGTCATGTAGTTCCAGTTGTCTTCCCTGCCTCCACAACACACACACTTGATTCAGTCACATATAGCAGGCATAGATTTTTAGACATATCATCAACAAAACAACAGGGAAATTGGCCGTATAATGAAGAATCGTGTAGTAAGGGAGGAGGAAATCAGGCTTGACAAGAAGAACCGTTTTCATAGATGCCACATATATTGACAGAGTTGCCAAGATGCAAAACCTCTATTGCTTGAAACAGTTTAAACTTAGCCGTAACCCATCTGCTGAGAGAAGTAGCAGGTCTACATGTTCTATTACATTTATCAGGACAAGTTCTTCTACCTACAGGTTTTCTACTTTTAAAATCTTTGGTGGGTGAAATAGTCATGAAAATAAGGAGATTTGAACCTGCAATGTAAACACTTTGTGTGTTCAGAAATAAAAGAATCCTTCTGCAGGATTTAACAGGCTTTGAAAGACTTTGCTGTCTTTCCAGGTTCTTCTGTTTTGGCTGTATGTATTGACCTCCAGTCTTCTCTGGAGCTAAGCATCATCCTAGTTGCTTTTCAAGATGCCTGCACGTAAACTTGTTTCCAGAAATAATTATTACTCCAGATAGAAATAAAATACTAGCAGTGATTTTCCCATTTTAATCTAATGCTTAAGTAAGAATGCAATAAGCAAGTACTTAATCCCACTTAAGTATTCTTTAGTCTTGATTACAGTAATGTTATCCATCAAAATTGCATGCAGCAGAATGCCATTAACATCTCTTACTTAAAGTGCCTTGAGGTGGACTGAACCAACTAGAGAACTTCTAAGCTGCGTTTTTTTTATCACTGCTATTTGCAGATTTTCTGCTGGTAAATCTTTGGGAGTGGTAGGTTTCATTTATTTTCTCGGTGGTGGTGGTTGTTATGGTTGTTGTTGGTTTTTTTCAGCAACACAAACTGTATTCTGACTACATGACAATTCTGTTCTGTCTTCCTGTCAAACAAGCATCATATCTACTCCCTTCTTTCCACTCCAGAAACAGCCTTTTTTGAACAGAAGTGTTGCAGAATCTTTTTGGATCAAGAAAACATTCAGTTCAGGAAAAATATAATGGAGAATCTATTTAATTAGCCTGTTTGCAGAAGACTTGGTGTCTGAAGCCAACAAATAGAATTGGCGTGTTTAGATAAGATAAATAATTGATATAAAATAGAATTAGATAGAATAATCAGTGTCCAGATTAAAAATTGTGTTCAGACTTAGAGATTCTTAGACTCAGGCATAGGCCTAACAATAGTATATAGTTACAGGCATTGGCTGTTGTTGTGGTTGTGCTTTTTTCTCTTTTCTTTTTTCTTTCTTCTTTTTCTTTCCTTTTTTTTTTTTTTTTTTCTTCTTTCACATATTTTTAATAAAACTGAGTACTGAATGAATGAATGAACAAATGACTTTCTAGCCTGCAGATGACAGAGGAATAGCTAGCCATGCTTAAGCAGTGGCTGGTTATCTTGCATCCAGATGAAGCACACTTCTTGTTAGTTCCAAAAAATATATATATTTTTAATGGCTTGGTGTTACTTTGCACTTATTGCTCTGAACAAAAGTTAATGAAGGTTTATGAAATTGCACAGAGAAACCTTGTTCTCCTGCATTAATGTGTTTTTAATTCTGTGCTCTGATCGCTCGGTGCTCAATCTCTGGACACTTTTAATCTTAGTTTGAAATTTCTCAAACTATTGAGGCAGGTGTTCTCAACAGTAGCTGTAGCCTATCCATGTTTATCTTGGATTATTTTATTTGCCTAACTTTCTAAGCCCAAAGCTTTTCAACTGCAAGTCAAACCAGCTATTCAGTCCTTTGTAATACAAGGTTTACAGAAAGAACCCACGCATAACATTTTAACTGAAATACTCTGAAATATAGCACCACGCATATTACTGAAGGGGTTGGATAAAAACAATAAGCAGGAGGGAAATTTGGGAACGTTTCAGTGTAAATGTAGCCAGTTTGGGTGGCACACAGGAATGGGTATAAATAAGTCAGAGGGCGTGTGGTTACTGGATCTTTCAGTGGTACTCATGGACAAGCTGTTTACTCAGCTGTTAAGTGCAAATGAAAGGATCTGTAAGTTGTGAAAAGAGCTATCTGTTTATTCTTCGATACCCTGTTGTCTGATTTGTTTTGTTCCTCAGCAAAACACCTAGCTTTAAGACTACTTGCTTCTGGAGATCTACAGTGAACAAAGCTTCCAGTCTTTTAAGAGCATCTGTTGAAAATAGAACTAAAAATATTTAAGAAATAATATTAATCTGAAACCACACCTGTTCCACATGAATTGTTAGTAATCAAGGACATAGAGGAGAAATCCTTACGTGGAGGGCATTGAAAGTCTGGCTTATCACAGTTGGTAGGCTGGCTACTTGTGGAACAGCATGCAGGTTTGTATGCATGTACTGAGACTAATACTGCAATGGTCTTGTTGTAGATCAGCATACCTGTGCTCTCAGTGACACTTCTGAAGAAAACCAAGACTGCCCTTCTTGTGCCAAATGCTCTGATCATAGCAACAGTCACAGACAGAGTAAGTACATAGAGGACAATGCTATTGTACCCTGCCTGTTCTCCTTTTCATTTCTCAACATCTTTTGTCCTCTCTACTTACTGGCACTCATATCATGAGAGATTCTTGAAGGTGCCAGCTGGTCATTTAAGCAGGTAGAGAAATTGGTCACGTGTAGTCATTTAGATTTAGAATCCCACTGGGTCTGGTTTCTTAGCAGATAATTTGAGCTACTTCTGCCTCCTCAAGTGTCAGACAAGGGCTATGTAGAACTTGATGAGAAAATAAGAAATGCAACCTCTTGTTGTCAGCTGTTGCCTGTAAGCTATCATTCCTCGTTCTCCAAGACTTCTGTGCAGTGACACCCCAGGAAGTGTGTGCAGGGAGTGTTCTCTGCCTTGCTGGCAGCTCTTCACAATGTTCAGGCATTTTTTTTGGGTCTCTCATCCGATCAGCGATACCTTAGATGCAGCAAAATGCAGTTTCTCCCTACAATCTCAGTAGTAATTGCATCAATTAGTAGAAAATGTGATTATCCTAAGAAAAAACAAAAACAAAACCATTTTCTCTGCAGAAATGTTTTTGAACTTGGGCATTTTTTTTTAAGAGTAGGAAATTTTTTTTTTTTCCACTCAGAGGGTGGTGAGGCACTGGAACAGGTTGTCCAAGGAGGTTGTAGATACTCCATTCCTGGAGGCATTCAAGGCCAGGCTGGATGTGGCTCTGGGCAGCCTGGTCTGGTGATTGGTGACCCTGCACACAGCAGGGGGGCTGAAACCAGATGATCATTGTAGTCCTTTTCAACCCAGACCATTCTAGGATTCTATGAAAACATAGCATGCAAAGTTTTTAAGACAAACAAACCAAGAAATTAAAATTATAGATCTGGACTTTGCTGTTTTCTGCAGTAGAACATGGCAAATTTTATGTGCCTGTTCTGTGTTCCCTGCGATTAACATCAGTTCTTAATCTCAGAAGGAGTGGAGGTTTTCCTTGCTTCATGAAGGTTCTTGAAAATAGGTGGTTTTGCTGATTAGATAGCTGTCAGTTTAAGTAAGATGAAAGGAAGCTTGTGCTGTGTGTCTTTTCTCAAATGATTTTGGAACTTTTGTTTTTCAGTATATGTTTGTCTCCTTACTCTCCAGAGATACAACCTACAAGCTATTAAAATCTATATGTAGACATCTTGAGGTAAGTACTAAAGGGAATGAAGAAATGCAGATTTATGTTTGTTATTACTGCTTTACCACTTTTAACTGCTGGGCAATTGCTAGGAGTGTTTCTTGTTAAAGCTGCTGCCTTTTTTTTCAGGATACGAGTATGGGCAACAGTCCCAGTCCATCTTCTGTTGAAAATAGCTTCAGGGCTGATCGTCCTACAACTCTGTCCCTGGTAAATGGCTTCGATGTTTGTTCTTTAGTCGCACTGCTCTGTTCATTGCAAATCCTTGTAATGTCTGAAGGAAGGAGAGCAAAGAAAATTATGACATGTGTTTGTAAAAATTCCATAAACTTTTTAACATTAAGAAGCAGTGATAGCATAGGTCTAGCTTGATTAATTAGATATATATTGTGTATGCCTCATCATATGATGGACGAGAGACTGAATATGAGCCAGCAGTGCGCTCTGGCAGCTCGAAAGGCAAATGGGATCCTGGGCTCCATCAGGAGAGGGGTGGTCAGCAGGGACAGGGAGGTGATTGTCCCTCTCTACTCTGCTCTTGTGAGGCCCCGTCTGGAGTACTGTGTCCAGGTGTGGAGCCCTCAGTACAAGAAAGACATAGAGATTTTGGAAAGGGTCCAGAGGAGGGCGACTAAGATGATCAGGGGGCTGGAGCACCTCCCCTATGAGGACAGGCTGAGGGAGTTGGGCTTGTTCAGCCTGGAGAAGAGAAGGCTGCGGGGTGACCTCATTGCAGCCTATCAATACCTGAAGGGAACCTACACCCAGGAGGGGAGTAAACTCTTCAAAAGGGCTGATAACAGCAGGACTAGGGGAAATGGTTTGAAGTTGAAGGAGGGAAGATTTAGGTTGGATGTTAGGGGGAAATTCTTTACTAGGAGAGTGGTTAGGCCCTGGAACGGGCTGCCCAGGGAGGTTGTGGATGCCCCGTCCTTGGACGTGTTTAAGGCCAGGTTGGACGGGGTCCTGGGCAACCTGATCTGAATGTCTATGTTTGGTGGCCCTGCTAGGCAGGGGGGTTGGAACTACATGATCCTTGGGGTCCCTTCCAACCCGGGTGATTCTGTGTGATTCTGTGTGATTCTGATTCTGTGTGATTCTGTGTGATTCTGTGTGATTCTGTGTGATTCTGTGTGATTCTGTGTGATTCTGTGTGATTCTGTGTGTATGTCTTAGAAATATTACAGGGTGTGTATGCCCTACATATTTCTCTTGCTGTCAGATATCACTGCTCTGTGTACTTACTTAACAGTCGCTGCTTCCTCTGACATTGGCTATTTTCAGAGTATTTCTTTTACAGTCCTTCCATTGTGAGCCAGTTCAGAAAGCTGAAAGAGCTGTGTCTCCACATGTGAAGACCGGATTCTGACTCTAGAAATGCCTGCTCTGGACTTGTTCATCTAGCAATCTTTCTTTTGCAGGCATACTTAATCTTCTCAGTTGAACTACGGCAGGGAATGATGGTTAAATTCTGGTGGTTATAAGAGGTCTGCTTATTTTGCTAACCAGATTTCAACATCTTGTGTTATCAAAAATTACTTCTGTTCAGGCAGTTTTAAATATGTAATTGTTAGTTCAGTTTCTACATGGAAGTCAGAGGAAATAAGGTTAATTAGACTTGCTATGACTGTTTCCCCACCAGGATTTCAATGAAGACTATTCTGATCTGGATGGAATAGTACAGGAGCAGAGACAAGAGATGGAGGAGTCCAGCAGCACAGGCTCACAGACCCCGGAGCTGGAACGCTTCCAAGGTGAGTAGGATCATGAAGCTCCAAGAAGATGGGAACAGATTAGATCTAGGTTTTGCTTCTGTAATTCCTTCTGATGTAGAAGTGGATCTGTGTTCTCCACAGGCCTGCAGACTAGTTAGGTACAGTCTTCCTCCAGGTTGCGAGAGCTGAATTTTCCCTGTTATGTTGCGCTTTGTAATCCAGAATTAAATAATGACTTCATCACCATCAGGCTTGATTTATCACTACTGACTCCAATTGCATTCACCATCTGTTTCATATGCCCCTTATCAATTATGCTGTCACAGATATAGCTTAGCAAACATTCATGCTTCCTTTCTCTTCCTCTTTCTCTCTCTTTTTCTCTTTCTCTTTCCTTGACACTTTCCCCTTTCTTTTTCATTTTTAATTTAAAAAAACTATTATAAAATAGCTGAAGTTATAAAAAACTGTCTTCTAATCAGTGCAAATAAATATTATGTACTGTGGTAGATTTTAGTAATCAAAACTATTTCGTATGATTTTATGTTTCTGTTTTATGAACCTTAATTCTGTTCTTTGTGGTCATCGAAGCTCCCGAAGATATCATCCATTGTTCATTCTTACTTCAAGTTTTTCACCTTGTTAGCAAGAATGCTGTGTAGGTGTCACAGAATCACAGAATGGCCTGGGTTGGAAGGGATGTCGAGGATCATGAATCTCCAACTTCCCTGCCACCAGCAGGGAGGTGAGCAGGGCCACCAGCCTCCCCATTTAGTACTAGACCAGGCTGCCCAGGGCCCCATCATCTCTGTAGCATATTCAGTCCTTTTGAGAGATTGCTTTTTTGTCTGTTTAATCTTCAGTCTGGAAATTCAGTGATAATCTGTGGAACTTGAATGGGTTGCCTTCTCTTGAATAACCTGGAAGTATAAACGTACCATACACAATCCCTTTCATTCCACATGCTTTTCTTCTCCTTTGTCATTATGTGCAGTTATTACATGGATTATTTTAAGTCCTGTAAAATAACAGCTGCTTTCTATCTATGTTCAAAGTACGTCTCTTAAAACCCTTCTGTTACCATATTCCTTGGCTAACTTAAGCTACAAATGGTTTCCTTTGACCTCATATTTCAGCTCTATTAAAAATCTTGCTTTTGACAGATTATCGCGTTGTTGAGACACAGACTCACTTGAAAGTTTCAAAGACTGAAACAAAGTCTGTCCGTTCTGATGCACGCAGTAAATGGGCATCTGAAGGAAAAGCCAGGAACTGCCTTCGAAATGGTAGGAAATTAAGGGCAAATCCTCAGCTGAAGTTAGTTGAGTCCAACTCATGTAGTTACGTCAGTTCATGTAATATGTAAGATTTCTTCCTGTTCATCTCTCTGTTTGTATTATCTGTTGCATGCTTTAAAACACCATTGTGTCTTTGGTGTTTCCTGATCAAAACAACATGTGTTCTTTCCCTAGCAGGTCATTCTGAACCTTTCAGATTCTTTCACAAGGATAAGTTACAGAAGCTCTTATCTCTGAACCACATACTTATATTTTATGCAGTTCTGTAAGTAAACAATTGATATCAAGATTGTTGAGCAACTCTGTTCTTTTTAATGTAGATTAATATTATCTCAGCTTTGCTTGAAAAAGAGGAAATTGATGAAAACTTTGGCCTTTATATCTTTTCAGAACTAGAAATGCCAGGATAGACCTATTTAACAGGCCTTTTACTTCTAAAAGCCAAGGATTTTTTGGCTCAGGAATTGTTGGAGAGTTTAAACTACTTGCACTTAGCAGAGCCATACTCAAGGTTCAGACTTTCAAAACTATCTGAATGCTACCAGTACCTGTACAGCATGTGCAAATACTGATTTAAATTTCTTTTAATGTTGCATTTGTGAGATGTCTCTGACATTCCCATGTCCATATAAACATAACTGATATATCTTACTTTTTTCTCTTACAGTGTCTGTGTTTTAATATTTTCTACCTTCTACATGAGATACAAAATCAATGTCCTGGAAGAACGTCTTATCTCCATTGCATCTTTTGATTCACATTTTAAGGAGTAAGATGAACTCTATAACTATTTCAATTAAAAATAAAAAATACTTCTCCAGTATCTCATGCTAATCCAGTTTTTTCAGAAACTCCTGTGTTACTGTTGTGCCCTCATGAAACTTAATGTAGTTCTTGTGTCTGCACAAGCCTCATCTCATGGTTTCCCTTTCAAGACTTTTAATGCAAGCAAATGGCATGATGTAGTATTGCTTTCAGGATGTTTCAGATAACTGTAAATAATGGTAGTGTAAACTGCTGAAATGAGCTTCTTTCCAGATAATGATTCTGTGAAAAAAGTCATGCCTTCCGTCTTAGTGTCAATTGATTAACCTGCCATGACAGAAAGTATTTTGTAATCTTTAGGCTAATGCACCTGACTTACTTTAAGGATGTTTTTAAGAGCCTCGAGCTGCCCAACTCATCTTTAGAGACTGACATCATGTCTTGCAAAAATAAATAATAACAACAACAACAAAATAGAAACTACAACTAGTTCTTCATGTCTTTGAAGAGAACTGGCAAAAAATGCATCATAAGAAAAGGTGTCTATGACTGCTCTCAGTATGGAGTTATATACTGTTATGGAGTCATATTTCCTGGTTGCACTTACGGAGTATTCAAACTATATAAAATTAGAAAACATGCCATTAGTTTGTGTCAAGTCCAGTGAAGAGGTGTAGGACTGCAGATCTTTTAAGTCTCCTAGCAATTATTTAGTAGTTTCATTCTATAACTGTGGAAGAGCTTAAGTCATGGATATGATCTTCCCCTCCTTTTTTTCAGTCCCTCTGTTGCATGAACAGAAAATCTGCAAATTCAAAGGGAGATGCAGCAGTGTGTCATATGGGCATCCTCAGTGAACTTAGGACAGAAGGGAGTTCAGCTGGATACTGAAAATACGATGACTTTATTTAGTATCAAATTTTGCATTAACTCTTCTCTCCCTCTCACGACTTAATTTTTCTGAGCTTCTCTGAAAAACGTGACTCAGTCATTTCTAAACCTCACTGCAAAGTCTGCTGTGACATGGTGCAGTTAGCAATCCTGGCAGCTAAAGAAGCACCACCTGAAAAACAGGAGAAAACAAAATTCCAGACAGCTGTACCCAGGTGGAATGGAGCTTTCTGCAAAGTGTTTCAGACTTAGTCATATTGTCATTCTGAACAATGGCTGTGCTGCTTAGGATCCACAGAGCACAGCTGAAAGCTGAGTTGCGTATATGACAAAGCTAGGTTCTTAAGAGGAAGGAAATGGTGATTTATCTTAAACAGGCTTGCATTTATGTTTTATCAGTAGTATGGGAAGAAGCGTAAACTTACATAGTAGTAGGCAATATGGAAAGCCATTTTCCCACTTTTTGCATATTTTGACTAACAGGATCATCTGAAGCACTCTTACACAGAAAGGTCCTATTTTCTGTTGTTCTGATACTAAAGCATGGGTACAGGATGGCCTTATGTGCACTTGTACTGTGCCAAGGGGCTGTGCTTTTTGGTTTTCTCCAAGTCACAAGACGCAGAACTTATGCAGCTCTCCAGCTTATTTCTAGATGGAAAACTTCACAGCTATTTCTACTCTACATCTGGAGAGTGAAATAACGTAAGGAATGTAGTCAGAAGTACAGAAGTGACTTAGGGCTTTGTTTCTGTAAACAAGTACAGTTCACAATGCTGCCATTCAAATAATTCATATCAGAATGTGGCTTTCAGCTCTGCTTTCCATTTTCTCATTCCCATCACACGAATTTCTTCATTCTGTTTGACAGACATCCAGCGCCCCAACGTTTGGAATCTCACTTGCAAGTTAATGCTGATGCCTTCTGCGATGAGTTAACCACTAATCTTATGAAATTGGAAAAGGTAACTTTGTATGATATGATGCACATGCCAGTAACGCTCATTAGGTTCTTCTTGAATTTCTTTGGTCTGTTTTTTTGAAGGTACGAAGGCACTCACAGATTTCATGGTACAAACTAGCATGTTTTACTAGAGGATGCACTGTTTTCTTGGGCTGTAAGTTAGCCAGTGCATAAGCATTGGTCTGTGTAGCTGCTTTGCCTTGAGCTCAACACCAAAAATATTACTAGACCAATCAGGCCAGAGGTGATAATTATATTTAATTATCTTGATTTTTTTTTAATTCTGTCCATCAGAGTTAAGGATTCTAAAGTTAACAGGAAATTTCCTTAGCAGGAATTCCTTGTCTGGGGCCTTTGTTTGGGTTTTGGTTTTCTGGTTAAGAAAAGCTGTGCTGGCATTCATATGGAGTCATCCTCTTCATACAAAATGTCTGGAATCCATCTCTCTTCTGTAACACAAATGCTGCTGCTGCACCAGCTGTCTAAGTCACTGTACCTGAGCTTTACCTATGTCTTTGCTCTTCACTATCCAATAATTGCAAGCCTAAATGCACTTGCTGGAATAGGAAATCTGTGCAGAACGTGAGCGGATGGGGGGAACTGATTTCCACTTTATGAACTGTGGTGAGTTTGCCTTGGCCTACAGTCAGACCTACCAGCTCAGCAGAACAGGGGAAGAAAATAGGATGAAAAGGACTGTGGATCAAGATAAATGCAAAGAAATTGCTTATCAGTTACTATTAGAAGCAAAACAGACTCAGCTTGGGAAAAATCAGTATATTTTTATTTGGTGATGAGAAACAAAGACAAATGTTAGAACAACACTTTTCCTTGCCTTTCTCCCAGGCTCATCTTCTCTCCTGACTTTTCCTTTCCTGGCACCAAGCTATTCTCTTGGGGTTCAGTGTAAGGATTATTGTCACTAAATATCAGTTTTCAATCTGCCACTGCTTCCTTTCATTTCTCTTCTGCTCCAGTTGCATTTTATCCTGCACTGATGTGGGCTCCTGCAAAGGCAGAAGTACTTCAGGAAACCTCCACCTGTTCTGGCATGCATGGCCTCTCCGTAGCCTCCATGGCACACCTTCACCCCTCCTCTTCTCCTGTCTCCTCCTTGGCCTTGATGTTCCCTATGCAGTTTCTGTTTTTCTCATCTCTCTCCATCTGATGTTTTTGCTTTGTATTTAGTGCACCTTCCCAGATGTGCCACTGCCATGGCTGCTGGGCTCTGCTGTGTATGAGGTGGATCCATTGAAGCCTGCTGGAACAAGCTGTGCTTGGCACTGGGCAGCCCCAGCATCAGCTCACAGCCCACCCCACCACCAAATCTTTGACACCTCTACCTGCTACTAAGCAAATGGAACGGGTGTGTTGGGGAGATGTCAGAATCAACTGGCTAAGCATGGGGAAAATAAATAAATAAATAAATTAGTGGAGTGAAAACAGGAGTTACTGACATTCCTGTGTGATTAAATCAGATGGGGTTTTTTGCCTGTTTCTAAAACTGGCTTTTTTGCCAAGGTTATTCAGTGACTTTTTCTATCCCCTCAAAGTAGGTTTCTCAATTGGCATGAAGGTTATGTAATATTACTGTTACCCATGTGACACCGGATCAAGAGAGTCTCTTCCAAAAATATTTCCCTCAGTACTTGCCTCTGCATGCTCTTGATGATAACATATGAACACCAGAGAAGAAATCTTACCAGATGATTACTAAGTTACAATCTTTAGCCAAATTAGTCCATCTAAGAAGTTATTACCTTCCAGCTGTCTGGGGTCTTCAAATGGCAAGATTGGAAGACCTCACTTTGTTTCAGTGGGAAACCTGCAAAACAACAGGACTAGGCAGGCACAGTGTCTTTCATTGTCTCTGCCAAGAAATACAGTAAAAGGCAGCTGGATGTTGGAGCTGTTCCCAAGAAGTGACCCTTGGTTCTGAATTAGAGTCTTAAGTCATGTACTTCTCTCATTTAGCGTCTACAGAATTGAACACTTGTCATTGCAAAACAGTCACAACTCTGTCAGCTGCTTCTCAAGTTAAATGAGAACTGCATGTAGCTGCCACAACCAGTAGTTAGAACGTTGTTTGACTGCTGCAAAATTGGCAGAAATCTATAAGTTATATGCTCAAGTTACTGCAGTTGTTTAACTGCTTTATATGTCTTAGTGAAAAGTGCTAGTAATTGACTTCAGCTGGCTTCAACAGCAAAACTAATGCAGAAGTTTCAGTGCAAACTGTCATCTCTTCCTCCCTTCTTGTGAGGCTGCAGCGCTATAAACTGCTTCACAGAAACTGTCTAGGTTAAAAATGGAAAATTACTCTTCAGTTAGTAAATGTTTAGCGCAGAAGTATTCTGCCATGATTTTTCAAGTGACCTACTTCATACTTGGAGTCCAGAAATTCCCATGACCTAGCAGAATTGTGCTTTGGCTTTTAAATATTTTTAACATGCCATCAGAACGCACTGTGTATTAAGACAAAGTGTTACAAGTGGCTGAAAAAAATTGTGGCCTGATTTTACTCATTTCTTTATTCTAACGTAGCTTGTTAAATGGAAACACATGTGTAAGGGTCTTACAAAACTGTTTTTCACTGTTCTTGAAAAAGACATCCGGGACAGCAATTCAGTGAGGAGGGTTTGAGAGGTGATGTCCCTGAGCAGGAATTACAGTATACAGTAATATAATCAATACATGGGCATAGGGACACATACCTGCTTGTGGTTAGATGAGCTTATTTTGCTGCATACATCAGAAGCCTCTGTAGTTGAAGCTGTTCTAAAACTATTTGAATTACTGAAACCTAGGAGCTGTGACTTTTACGTCCAGAGCTTGTATTTTGTTTTGATTGAGTTACAAATTTTGGATTTATTGAAAATTTCTTTCTAGCTCTAGTTTCGTTCTCCTGTCTCCTATCTGATGAAGAAAAGAACCCATGGGAGGTTGCAGGAGACACCTGTAAGCGATATCGGCTTGGTTTCAGTTGCTCAGCTAAGCATTCTGCTGACTGATCATATCTGGATGCTTCTTTGACTCTTGTCATTTAATGTGAATACTCTCACTTAGTACGAATACCACTGGTATAAATAGCTGTGACAGAATTAAGAAGCACACAGAGAATATATTGAAGAATGTCTTGATTTTCTTAAAAATGTAGTACAACACTTTCTGTTTCCCAATCATTTTTATCTCTTTTTCTAAGATACAGAATAACTTACAGGAACTGCTTGAAGATGGTGAATGAAATGTTTATGTTCTTGGACTGCTTCAGACTTCATTCATCTTGCTTGACAAACAGATTCAAAGGAGCTCTGCTGGACGGAGTTCAAGCTTCTTTATTTTCAGTCCAAGCCAAGGTTAAACTGGTGATGCTCATGTCACAACTCAGAAAGTCATGTTATTGTTTAACTGTGTTTGTCTGCATGTTTTGAAAATAAGGTTTTTTTTTTTCCTTCTTTATGGTGTGTGAAGTAGTTAATGGATTTTACAGTTTGTTTGATTTTAGCTTTCCTTACACCAGTGCAAACCTGAAGCAACTCCTTTTACCTCAGCCTTCCTTTTCTGCCTCTCTTCATGTACTTGTAAGTAAGCATTTCAGACACGATTCATATGCTGACATGTTGTGTGAATGAGCTGGTGTGTGTCTCACAGCTGTGGCTATGGATCAGGGCTGTGCTTTTTACTTTCTGTCCTATCATCCCAAAGATTAAAACCAAACACCTCTGTGTTTGATTCTGTGGAGTACTGAATGTTTAATGTGTGCTTAAGCTCTCAGGTGCTGTAAAAAGTCTCGATTCCATATTCTGTGGCACTGGATCACTGCTGAGCATGAAGTCCATTTCTACTGGGGATTCATTTTACGTCAAAGTCGAGCTTGAAATATGTGTGAACTTGCCAACTCACCATTAAATTGCTTGTGAATAGCATTATGGGTATGACATGTCTGTCTGGAAAACCGTTTTTTCTATCTGCTCTGTCTCTGTCCTTTAAGTTAATTCATCAGTGTGAAGATCTCAGCTAGCTTTCCTTAGAGCTGCATAGAGCCTTGGTTAGCCAAGCAAGTACATTTCATATTCCAATTTATATAAGTCTAGTCCTGATATGGAACAGATATTTCCAAATAATAGAAACTGACAAATTACTGAAATTATTTTTATTGCCACGTTCTTAACTGAAAGAAAAGGTGGACATCTGCTTTGTTACATCACAATATTTTTTCACCTTACCTAGTAGGATAACTGTTTTGGATTTTTTTTAGCTTTCTGATTCACAGAGCAGACTGGTTCATCTGAAAAAGCAATATTTAGGATAATGACAACTTGTGTATGCAATATTACTGTTTATATATGCTCTGCATTTTATAACCATTTCTGTGAAATGCACCTTACTTTGTTTAAATAAACTTTTTTGAAACAAGCAACTCAGTGCTATGATTTATGAGGAAGTTTTTCACTTGGAGGGTGGTGAGGCACTGGAACAGGTTGCCCAACGAGGCTGTGGATGCCCCATCCCTGCAGGCATTCAAGGCCAGGCTGGATGTGGCTTTGGGCAGCCTGGTCTGGTGGTTGGTGACCTGCACATAGCAGGGAGGTTGAAACTGGGTGATCATTGTGGTTCTTTTCAACCCAGGCCATTCTATGATCCCATGATTCTGTGATTCTATGATTTGGATCATCCTGCTCCCATCCATCGATTTTAATCAAACATGATACTCATGATCTTGAATAGGCTTATTCTACACAGTGCAAAGGAACTGCATCCTGCCTGTGTGTTTCCACTTGCTCATTAATACTCAGAGGAGAAAGGCAAAACAATGCAATCAAATTTCATCTTTTTGGCCTCCATTTGGCCATCTTTTCTCAGATGTTTCCTCCTTGAGGGATAAGGGATGTTGAGGCAGCTGAGAGATACATTCATGCTTTGTAAGATGGCTGCTTAGCACAAGTTTTCATCTAAGTGTGTTTGGTTAGAAATCTGTGAGATCGACTGTCTCCCTATTACAATCCCTATCTTTCCTTTCTCAGCCAGCACAGGATTATTGGAAAACCTGTTTTTGCAAGAAAACTGTTGAAAAAGCTATTTTTTCTATCCTTCCATCCTTCCTTTTCCCTACTTTCCTCTTCTTCCACAGTTCCATTGTTTATGCAGTTTTGTGCTCTTTCCTCACATTTTCACTTTTCTATTTACTTACCTTTTCTGTCTGTTTCAGTATAAAGGCTGTAGTTCTATTTGTGATGCTTTAAAATTGAGGTCACAAGTTACTTTTGTCAAAGGAGCATCTGGGTAGTTTAATTATATCCATCAGCTGGTCTGAATTAGTTTATTACTCCTTTAGATCAGCAAAGATGTGCTTTGCTATATAAAAACAAGGGAGAGTATTACATAAAGCAGACAGGCTAAACCTGTAGGCAGGCTTATCACCAGCCATAAGCAAACGGAATAACTGTAGAGGTGAAAGAGTAATCCAGGGTAGAGGGTGTCCTTTAGCCTGTATGGCTGCATGCCAGGGGAGGTGAGTCTGGACAGAGGTGTGCAGCATTTTCTCATAGGGGGAAGAAGCAGCAGTTAGAGTTTTTGACTGTGGTCACTTCAGCTCAGCAGGTCTTTATATGTGGTAGCCTTCCCTCAGCTCTTCGGTTTGTAACCTCACTCCTTATTTTTCCAGAGGTAGGATGAGGATGCCTCAAGGATTTCATGCTGGTCTGCAAATAGGATGTACTGGTTGTGCAGAAATAAGCAGGAAATGAGCTTGCTGGGGAAAGTCAGAAATCAATAAATATTCAGCACGGATTGTTAATGGCGATAATAAATAGGTTGATTTTAAAAAATCATCCTTTTTATCTTCCTTCCTACTTTCTTTTTTCTTGTTATTTCAATTATGAAATAATTCACAACTTAGAGGCAGAAAAAAATGAGGACAAAGTCCCAGTAGCTGTGAGGCGTGTAGTTATAGGTAGTGCTGGGCTCTGTCAAGCTGCTAGGAAACTGGAGATGTGTGGAAGGCAACAAGGGTGCATTAGTATTTCCTACTTGTAGTTGCTGAGCCAATTATTTTTCCCTACTAGTCCCAGCCCAACCTGCTTCAGTTCTTGTGAGTTCTTACTGTAAGGGGGGAAAAAAACATTGCTTTCTTTCTCAGAAATGGTGTTTGAAGAAAGTGCCAAAGCACTTCGGTGATTGTGGGTGGGAGAGCTAGACAAGACCTGACTTTTCCACGGTTCATTCTGGCAATATCCAGCAAATAAAAGCCCTTGCAGCATGGTTTTCTCCACTTTACGGGTATGGACTTGGACCAAATAACTGAGGAATGGAATATGTTATCAACATGGTCTTTTGGTATTTCTGAATTCATCTAACTGCAGACTGCTGCCAAGAGGAAGAGTCTTTCCTTTATTCCCTCTGCCATACTCCCAGCTATTGTTCATTTTCGCAGAAAGGAATAGGAATGGGAAAGTGAAGTAGTGTGCGTTTGGAGAGGCTGGGTGGTTGAGGGGTTGTAGAATTCATTTTCTGCCACGTTACTTGCCTGAACTGCTAGGACTGAGGGATATCACATGTATGCTACTGCTCATGTGAAGTTTGCTCTCCAAGAAAAACAAATGTTGCCCTTCTCAGCGGAACACCAACAGTAGCAGCTTGACTAACATTTGCAAAGAGTACAGATGGTTTTATGTGTCTGTGTGTTTGTTGTTCATACCATCACTGCTTTCACCTGACTGTTTATGCAGTTATATAGTATTGCTCCCAGCTTTCTTTTACACCTGCTCTTTCATTTCCTGACTTTGTGCTGACAGTCAGCTGATCAACATTAAATACACCTCTCGGTTGATGCTTTACAGACCTTTTAAGGTGATGGCTCAGCTGATTCACCTGCAGCTGCCTGTGAGGTGCTATGCCCAAGGATACGTGAGGTTTTTCCTTTACAGAACAGGTGTGATGTGCAGTAAATATAATGAAAAAGCTGGTTATTCATGCAGAACACTGAGCAAATAGTTTCTTTCATGCTGTGTGTGTGATTTTTGTGAGCAGTAGAGGAATAACATTGTTTGAAAAGATTTTGGCAGGATTTTTCAGTTTGCCTGGTGAGGCTGTCGGAGCCTGACATGCAGATTTGCTCAAGGAGAAAAATGGACTAATCTTTTTTGGCAAATCTCAATTTATGATTGTTTGTTTTGCTGTCTTAAGTTATAAATTTGATATGATCCCCTTTTATAATTATGACGTTTCACAGTAGCCTATGGCTAAGTGAACAACCACAACAAGGCATGTGCCAGTAAATTTCATTTAGATGTCTCTTAGATTATTCTATTAATCAGTGGCATTGTTGGATTTTGACTAAAAATCAAATGCATAAAATAAAGCAATGTACAGTATGTGCACTAACTCAGTAGCACCTAACAGGCTTTTAATCCCCAAGCTTCACAAAGTATTATGATGCTAATATGCCTATCGTAACTATTCCCACCCAAAATACAGACTTTCAGGGATACGTACTTGGTTGCCATTTTGACTTTCTGCTTCTATTGACCCTCAAGTTTCTATTTAGAAGCATGGAATCATGCAATTGTTTAGGTTGGAAAGACCCTTAAGATTGATGGAATTCAAGGCACCTGTATGTTAGCAAAGCCTTCCCTAAACTAAATTGTCTGATACAAATCATAGAATAACATTTCAGATATCCACTGTTAAGGTGACATTTGCTTTGCAAAAATCACTTCAAATTTTGTGCCACAATGTGCAGATTTTTGTGCCAAAAAACTTCCCTCTCCTGGAAGGGAAGCCAAAAACTTTTGCAACAGGGTAACTGTTCCCAAAGGAGTAACCAGAGGTTGGCTGGCTGCTTACTGAATAGGCATTGCAGTTAAAATATAGTTGGAAAGAATTACCTCCTTGAAGAATGCCTTAGAAATCATTGCCCTCCAAATACATACCATGTTCGTTATGCTTGCTGGCTGCCAGCCTCTGAACACAGTGTAGACATGTTTTTTTCCCCCCATATTTTCTCCTTTTATCCTTTGAGCACAGAGTATGTGCCAGTGTATTTTTATTATGTGTGTAATGTGCTTGCCATGCCAGTTTCTGTACTGACTTTATTTGGCTGGTGCTTAGAAGTATATTATGTTCTTACAGTTGAAAGATATGTTTTTCCATGATTATTTAACAAACAAGCTCATGCATGGTGATATACAAGGAGCATCCTGTTCTGAAAGAGTGATATATTGAGCTTAATAACATGGATTTGTTAGTCTTCAGCGCCATACAAGAAAGGCCTCTGTTAATTGCTTTCTTAATGATATTGTGAAGGTAATTTTCCACTGAGCAGGCATTTTAGCAGTAATGAGCAAGAGATTAAAGGAAAATCACTTATATGTGCTCTCAAGTACAAAATTAAAACCCAACTCTTCACACTATCTTCACACAAATAAGGAAGAAGTCCTTCCAAGAAGAAAATCTAATGAGTAACTCAGTTATTCCCCTACATGCTGGACATGCCATACAGAGCAATACATAGCTCTGAATCTTCCTAGGGCTTTCAGCTTGCTAGTGTGGCAATGCACACACGTGGCTGCATGCTGGTGAAGAAGCAAGGTGAGAAAAAAATCAGCCTGTATGTACGTAGTGAACCATGAACCCTCTCTCACAGATTAATCATGTGAATAATAATTGCTTTGTGATACTGGTTTATGGATACTAGCATGAAGATAAGTCCTTATTTGCTCTCCCATAAAATAATTCTAAGTGATACAACTAACATGCAAGAAAAAAAAATCGGTGTCAGCTGATTTGGAGATGGACAGACACTCTTTCAGGTCAGTGATAATTGCGATTTGCTCATCTAAAAAACTTCAAATTCTTGACTGTGGAAAATGCATCTTCCAGGCTTCTCTTCAATGTCCTCTGGCGCATTTCTGCTTCTGTAATCTCTCTTTGGCCATCACAGTAGCTCCATCCATGAAACCAGTTTGTGGCTTGAAGTCTAATTAATGAAACCAAGGCTATTGTATTTGGGTTAGAAGTAAAGAAACTAGAGTGTTCAGAGCCAGCTATTGAGAACTCAGTTGATTATTCCCTCCTCTACCTCTACTTTTCTTCCTGAGTTGTCTGATATTTTTGATGGTTTTGCACTTGGGCCAGAGGAATCCCATACATCTGTACAGACTGGAAGGAGCGGTCCTTGAGAGCAGCCCTGCAGAGAAGGACCTGGGGGTCCTGATGGATGAAAAGCTTACCATGAGCCAGCAGTGTGCTCCTGCAGCTCGAAAAGCAAATGGTATCCTGGGCTCCATCAGCAGAAGGGTGGCCAGCAGGGACAGGGAGGTGATTGTCCCCCTCTGCTCTGCTCTGCTCTTGGGAGGCCTCATCTGCAGTACTGCGTCCAGGTCTGGAGCCCCAGATACAAGAAAGACAGAGCTGTTGGAG